TAGACCTGAGGGTCTCCATCCTGAAGTGTTTGAACTTGACATACTTGTTTATGAACTTCATGTCTAAAATCGCTCTTCAGTCCCCAGTCCTTTTGGGGACCATGAAGAAAATTGAATAGACCCCCTGTCCCCGTTGTTCTATCGGGACAGGTTCTACTGCATGAATGTCCATAAGGTGGGATATGGCTGACCAAGTTCTGTCTCGCCTTGTGCTGTTTTTGTGTATTGTGGAGGCGACGAAACTTTGAGGAGGGAGTAGCCTTCTGAGATAATTCCTTTGGTCCAGGAGTCTGAATTGGATCTGGCCCATGCTTGAGTGAAGTGTGTCAGTCTCCCCCTTACTGATGGCTGTCGATAGTCGGATAAGTTAGCAGTGAATTTAGAAGTTAGAAAAGAGAAGGAGTCAAGAGTAAGTAAAAAGAAAAACTGTTAAAGATTGGTAGGCTAACCTAACAAGCTGCTCTCCCTACTGAGGCAGGAAACGAACTGAGTCTGGGGTGACTCCCACCACAGGAAACAGGAAGTTTGAATTGTTCCTGCCTCCCTGAATGATGGATGGGAATCACCCAATATAATCAGTATACTTACCATCAGGATCCCCGTCACTACAGCTGTACAGGATTTCCATGTACAGGATACACCGTTGCCACCATGTACAGGTCTTTCCCACCCAAGCCAGTCCCCATGGACAGGATTAAGCCCTTCATGCCAGTCCAGGGATGAGAGTGAACCCTGTACTTTTACAGTACATTAAACAACAAACCCAGAGGTAGGCTATACCCTCTCAGGTTTTCAGAACAATATGTCACCAGAACCTCTACAGAAGTTCCCCCCAACCTGAGATTAGAGGTTCAAACCCTCAGTTGGTATCTGGAACTTAACACATTAGCAACTCACTCAGAGCTGCACACTTTACGCTTAATGGTAGCTTGTGGTCAGCTTAGGCAAAGGAGTTTAGATTTGGAACTCAGGTGCAACATCAGAGACCATTTAGAAACAAGAATAATTTTTAATTCAGTACAGACCTTAACACAAGACTACCAGAGTTTACCAAAATAACAAGCCTAAGGCGATTTGCCTTAACTACACAGTAAGATACATATTTACCAAGTTCAGGAACATCCAAACAGTTCAAGATTTTCCATTGTGATAATCCAGTTAGCACCAAGGGATTTTGAGTAGGAATCCCATCTTGTGCAAGCATGCATCCAGTTCACAAATTTATTTTTATTTATTTTTTATTTAACTATAGACTTGATATACCGCCCTAACCCCCAGGGGGGGTCTCTGGGCGGTTCACATATATGGCATTCTAAGAACTATACTTCCTAACTTGGGCCACATCTAGTGTTGGGGGTGGGACTGCCTACCAGCACCCTTGGTGGTGGGATCTTCGATGGTCTTTCTCGGCTGCTGGCTCGGCTCGGTGTACTGGCGGCTAAATTGACATGGCGTCCTCTGGGTCTTCTTTGGTTGCTGGCGCTGCACGGCATCCTTCGAGGCCTCTGATGTTTCCACGGCAACCACCGGCTGGATCGTGCAGGCGCCCGGCTCGAGCGTGCTCCTGGCCCCGGCTCCATCCATCAGGCACCGCTGTGCCTGCGTCACACACCGTCGTGCATCTCCCGCCTCTGCCTGATGTTTTTCCTTCCGGCCACCAGGGATCGCTTCGTCTCTGCCAGCACTCGCATGCTGCCGACATCGCAAAGCCACCCTTTGTCTCTCAAGGGCTGCATTTCAGGTGCAATAAAACAAGCAGAGAGAGCAGGAATAGAGAGCAAGAACTAAGAGAGTCTCTCTCATTGGGATCAAACAATTATAGCCCAATTCCAGTCATGATCAGCTGTGGCCATGCAGCCAACCACGAGTGGACAGGGGTGTGCCTAATTAATTGTTGGTTGTCATAGGTGCAACACAGGATTGGCTAGAAGTTTGGAGGCCCCTCCTGCAGTCAGGTGACCCAGCTTCTCCATGCTGTACGTGACATGGCCCATGCAGCCTTAAAGCAGGCGCCTTGAAGTCTAGCTCTTCCACTTAGAGGTGTGAAAGAATGTGTGGTTATATGGCACGGCTATTGAGGTTGTTCAGGCCATCTGGTCTGCCCTGGACCATTTGGCCTGCACAGGAAACAGAGACATAGAATGTCATCACAGGAGAAAGCATGAGACTTGTAGAAATCAATATGTCTATACAACAGCAAAGGATGGTTTTGAAGGAACTGGTTTTAATTATACCAGAACTACTAATTTTTAAGACTCAATATAGCACAGGTGTTTGCTTTAGTAAACTTATTAATCCTTAATCAAAGTATTTTAAAATGATGATCATGGCACTGATTTCCTGTTACACAAAATGAATATGTAACCATCTACTTTGTAGTTAAATGTGTTTGCTCAGTGGGCATTAAATGGTTAGTTGAGGTCCCTAACCTTAAATTAAGGATTTGATAAAGTTAAGGCTGAAACCATTGCTCCACCTAGGACAGCCTGTGAGGACCATAAAGTGTAGTAAAAGAAGCTGGCATATATGGAAGAATTCTGTAATTCATGAAAAACTTACTTGGGCACTTTATGTACATTACTGAGTGAATAACATTCTACTTTACACAGATTTCCTGTTAATTCACCCTCCCACAATTTACATTTTGGTGTAGTGGTTAAGTGCACGGACTCTGTTCTGGGAGAACCGGGTCTGATTCCCCACTCCTCCACTCACAGCTGCTGGATGACCTTGGGCAAGCCATAGTTCTGTCAGAGCTGTTCTTGAAAAAGAGCAGTTTCTGTCAGAGCTCTCTCAGCCTCACAGAGTGTCTGTTGGGGAGGGGAAGGAGTTTGTAAGCCGCTATGAGACTCCGAGTGAAGAGCGGGATATAAATCCAATCTCTTCTTCTTCATCATCTTTAAGATTTTGTACAGAACTTTTGATGAACTCCATAAAATGATGATCAGGCTGGCATGCAGCCTCTTTTCATTGCACAGGTGCTACATAGCCTTTTACAGTCATAGCTGAAGTAGTCTCTTAATTCTGGCAAATAGGGCAGAACTCTCCTCTGCTACTGAAATTCTTTGGCCGAGTGTTACATGCACACACATTTTTAAAAATTAAATAATAATTTTTATATAAAATGATATGTAGGATGGTGTCAGTGTTTCTAACTCTCAAGTTTCTTATGGACAGCCAGGAAAACGTGTACCCAGCCTGCCTCTAAGGTTGCCCTCAAAGATTATTACATGTGAAGCAAAGCTGAGATGGTCAAAAACTCATGAACATAGGAGAAGGACTTCTAATGGCCACAATTTAGTATGTTCTCAAGCACCGTTTGACAACACACTTTCAAAGGGTCACAGGCATATTCTGCCAAACACAAAGATATCTTTCAAATGCGAGAGTTCCTAAGAAAAAAAGCACTTCTGTGGAGTAATCAAATCACGTGCAAACCCCTTGCAGACCATGATTTTCCATTACAAACGTTGCGAAAAGCTGCCCAAACAGTGCTGCACCACCTGATGCTGCTGTGGGTGGCCTATGCTGGGAAGGGTTTGAGGGGGGGGCATGCTGTAACCTGCTGGGTTCACAGGACAGAGCACACTATAATCTAATAAATAAGTCAAGAGGCTGCGTAAGATCTTACACAAACCAGTTTTTCCATTCCCGACTTCTATACTAATAATTACACCATTCAGACTAAACATGTTCTTCCTACCACTCGTGAAAATGTGCTTAGGATCTCTAACACACTGTTGCTGAAGTAGTCAGCCCTCTCAAAATGCTTCCGTGTAATATAATGAAGCCATTATGGACATCAAAGAGAAGTTACCAGCAATCCTAACACAACTTTCCTGGGAGTAAGCCCCACTGAACAGACAAAAATTGACTCAGAATCCCAATCAAGCCCAGTGAAGCATGGTTAAGCCCTTTTCTGAATATTCTTCCACTTTCAAAAGAGTCTCTGTTCCAAGGCCTGATTATCCACTCCACTGACAATGAGCACCCAACATAAAATGGCTAAATATCCCAAATCTTAACTTGAACATAAATCTAAAATTATGAAAAATGTCTTCTTCTTCCACCCATTCCCCTCCCGAAATCCCCCTTGTCAACCCCTTGCTTTAGCTCGTGTACAGCCCAGCAATGTGCAAAAGCGATGGCCGTCCATGGGGCTTAAGCAGCCCCCCTGATGCCACAGAGGGGAACGTGTGAGACAATCACCACAACGCCCCGAATCCCAGCCTAGTTACTTTATGGCAGTCTAGCCCCCACACAGCTCGGATGCTGACTGACGAGACCGAAGCTCTAAGGAGGGTCCCCGTCTTCCCTTTAGGTTGGCGACGCCTCGTGGAACGCGGGGCTAAGTTAGGTCAGAAAAGATCCGCTGTCCCTTGTTCGTATCCTGACCAGCACCTCTTTTAGGCAGACAGGGCTGAAGAGAAGCCCGAGCAGCAGCCGTCTCGGCTAACTTCCCGCTCCACCCCTCTCCTTAGGAATACCCTACTCAAATAAAGACAACATGGCGGATCCAGCGCGGTTTCCCCCGATCCGACTCCCCTCTCCTCAACAAATCAGTAAAGGACACGAGACTGGCCGCCGGCAGCTTACAATTGTTTGGGAGAAGGAGGGGGGTAAGAAAGAAAGTGGGCCTGGAGTGTGTGTGTGGGGGGGGGGGAGCAAACGATCGAACCAATCCGTTTCGTACTCGGCGTGCGCGCGCTCCCACGAACACCACGCCCTCCTCCCTCCTCGCAGAAGCGGCGCTCGCTCGTTTGCGGGCTCCGCCTCATTGCCACCCACACCTTCGTCGTCACCGCAGGGCTGGGTGTGCCTCAGACGCTAATTCCCTCCCTCCGCCCCTCCTCCACGCAGGTGTCGGCACGGGAGCCGTTCGAAAGCGCGCGGGCGCCTCTCGCAGCCTCACAGGCGCGCGCCCGCGCGCGAGGCCCCAGCAATGTGGCGGCGGCGGCGGCGGCGGCGGCGGTTGTCGTCGTAGCGCCTCCCCTCGAGGGGGGCGGGGCGATCCTGTCCGGCGGGTTCTCCGCACCGCCCCTTCCCCCCTCGTTCGCTCCCTCCCTCAGTAACTTGGGTGCCTTTTATCCGGCGAGCCTCGCGGTGGAGAGTTTATCGGTGCCGGAGCTGCAGCGCGGGGAGTGCGGAGCGTGAGGCGGCGAAGCGGCCGCGAGGGGGTCCCCCCGCCGGCTGGTCCGGCCCGCGGCGACGGACGGACGGACGATGCTCCGGCTGGTGTCGCTGAAGTTGGGGCGGCTCTACCGCTACGTGAAGCTGGCGGTGCTGGGCATCCTGGCGGCGGCGCTGGCCCTCAACTCGCCCTCGCTGCTGGCCTCGCTGCAGCGCAACGAGCTGGCCGAGCGGCGCTTCCTGCAGCTGAACAAGTGCCCGGCCTGCTGGGGCACCAGCTGGTGCCGCAAGTTCCTCAACGGGCAGCTGCGGCTGGAGAGCTGGGGCCGCCTGCGCCTCCTGGACTTCCTCAACGTCAAGAACGTGTACTTCGCGCGCTACGGGGAGCCCCGCGAGGGCAGCCGCCGGGTCGTCCTCAAGCGCCTGGGCTCCGCGCGGGAGCTCGCCGACATCGACGCCAAGATCTGCCGGCGCGCCACCGGCAGGGGACGCTGCGACCTCCTCCAGGCCCTCCACGCCACCGAGTTCGCCAGCATCAACGGCGACGTCCGGCTCCTCACCCCCGACGTCGTCGAGGGCTGGTCGGACCTCGTGCACTGCCCCTCGCAGCGCCTTCTCGACCGCCTCGTCCGCCGCTACGCCGAGACCAAGGACTCGGGCAGCTTCCTGCTCCGCAACCTCAAGGACTCCGAGCGCATGCAGCTCCTCATCACGCTGGCCTTCAACCCGGAGCCCCTCGTGCTTCAGGTAAGGTGGCGGCACCTGTGGAGGCGAAGCCTGGTTTGCTGGCTGACACCCGGCTCATCTAGCTCAGCACTCCGCCTGCCTCCCAGGCCGTTCCCCCTAGTTGCCTTCCTAAGCGCTGTCGGGGTCTTCGGACCGTCCTTCTGCTGTTGAGAGCCAGGATTTAGCAGGACCTGCTCTTGCACGGAGAAGCCATACTTACCTGTGAACTTTTTTTAATCCACTGTCTTTAAAGCTGTGCATCGTTTGTCTCTTCCCAGTTCCAGCAGCGGTTTCTTTTAATGTGTGCTTTGGGATAGGACTCTAACATTCTGCTCATTAATGCGTGCGAGTGTGCAAGTAGCCACTTCAGGCCGTTATGGACTGAAAGCATGCTTATGTGGAATTTGTACTATTGTGCTTCTTCCCACTTTCTCAGGACTTCTGCTTTTCTCCTTAGAGACTCCCCACTCACTTTTCATTGAAATTTGCTGTTTCCTAACTAGCTGCATAGCCAAAAGCAGTTCATCCCTATGCTGCCTATCTCTGGTACCTTCAGAAGCCAGTATTTACTAAACACCACTTCTTTGCTCTGATAGATTCAGGACTGATTTAAAGCCCATTACAATTATCTGCTCTGAATCTATTGAAATCAGACTGTCAATTGCAGTCTCTTGTGGACTGTGCTGTGTTCTGGAGTGTCTGGCTTTTAAAAAGCCTCTTCGACAGGGCTCTTATAGTTAAAGCAGGAATATGCACACCAGCCTATTTTACTGCCAAAATCAATCTTCGGTTGTATGACTGTGGAGTCTCTGGAAATGCCTACAAACAAAATCTAAAGGCCAAAGCTGGGTATATATGTTGTTTGAACCTAAATCCCGTAGACCCTTTTAAGATTATTGATGGAGGCTTAGTGTTTTGGAGGCTACAGCCCTCTTCAAATGGCATGTAAAAAGTAAAAGAGAACTTGTTTCTCTCATCTAAAGAGGCATGGCTTTCAATATTTTGGTGCCAGATTGTTTAGGGGATGTACTTACAAAAGATTCTTCAGTTCCTTGAATATGGTTGGGATTAGGGTAACTTTGTATCATCCGTGAGAAGTATTGAGATCTGTATGTAGGTTCAAATCTGGTAGCTGTGTTATTGTATTGCAGCAAAAAAACCCATAAAGGGCACCTTTAAGACTGCTAAAGCTTTTGTCTACTAGAGTCCACTTCTTCAGGTATGCATCAAAGTGGATTCTAGCCCATGAAAGCTTATGTCTATAGATCTATTTTTGAAGAATTTTCCTCTGATTTGCTGTATTTATTTTGTAACTATAGTTTGGTAGAGGTAGAGGCAGATCTCTGAAAACCTGTTGTATTTTGGTGACCTTTCTGTTCTTTCTAGTAATCCATAGTGGGTGAAACTGTTGTTTCTTAGGTAGCAGGCTTGGTGGCACTGTAACTAAAGACAAGAAGCTTCTTGCTATATTTACTTTGTTGACTCAAATTTGAGGCATTCTTTAATTTGATCTCAACACAGACCATGGTAGGCTGCTAAATTTAACATTATTTTGATATAATACTAATAAAACTCCACTGTAAAATATCTGTCAGATCTCTCATAGTTACACTTCAAAGTAATTCTATATTAAGGTTTTTATGAAAGCACAAACCCACTATTAGGTTAAGTTGTGAAATAACATATTTTGGTTTAAAGGTCACCCATAAAGGAACAAGCGCTGGAGATTGATAGTATACTGGAACATACAGAATGGGATAATTAGATTAAAAGTATAGGTTTTTGTGTTTTTCATCAATCCAAATGGCAATCTGTTAGGGTATAAATGTATGGAAAGCCACAAGGTTAGTTGCTGCAACATTGCATCGCATAACCTAGTGTAAATAAATTTCCTTGAGTGATTCAATAAGACAAGCAGCCCCGAGTTCTGATGCTCAATTTCTGTATTTGTGTTTTATGCTGGAAATATCCCTTAAAGTTTGCAGATGGGCATAAAGATGCTTAAAAACTGTTGAGTTGTTTCCACAAGCTAGAATGGTTGACAAACAAGGATCAAGTGGACTGTTGAAACAGCTGGTGCTATGTTGAACTGCTTAGTGATTTGACATGTACCAGCTGGTGTGTGAATTTTAACTTTACTTAAAGCAGTGTCCTCCATTTGAAATCAAGTCAGGTTTTTTCAAACATAGCTGACAGGAGGGCTGTTTTCAGTTGTGGATTCAGTTGCAGTCTTCTGTTTAATGTAGTTTCTGAATGCTTTTCTGTGTGTAAAAATTCTGTATTGGCTGATATGCTTGAAGAGTGACCGGGAATTAATATTACAGAGTCTGATACTGCTTAGCTCCAGTTATGTGTAATGTAAGTGATGTTAGTTGAAATAAACTAAAGTTTTTGAAGTTAACGTGTATTGTAAGGAGAGAGTGCGCACACAACGTGTTAACAGAAATATTAACTAGTTGGACATTTTGTATCCGGTATCAAGCAAAATAGATTGGTATAGTTTGAATGGATATAATTTCTGGAAGGCTTTATCTACAAACTAATTGGAATAGTTTTTGCATCAGCTCCATCAGGTACTGTAGGCTAACAGATTGTGATTTGTCCCAGTTCACTGAACTAGCTTTGTTGATCAACTCTGGATTTTCCATGTATAAACAGAATATTAGTTGCTGTAGATTTTCCGGGTTGTGTGGCCGTGGTCTTGGGGACTGTAGAATGTGATGTTTTGCCAGTAGCTGTGACTGGCATCCTCAGAAGTATAACACAAAACGATGGAGTACTCCATCGTTTTGTGTTATACTTCTGAGGATGCCAGTCACAGCTACTGGCAAAACATCACATTCTACAGTCCCCAAGACCACGGCCACACAACCTGGAAAATCTACAGCAACCAATGAACTCCGGCCGTGAAAGCCTTCGACAACATATCTAAACAGAATACTTTCTGCAGTACACCTGGGTACTGTAATTTGAAACAGAATTTCTAAATGAATTAAAAATCTTATTTATAGATTCATGTTGTGTGCATGACCCCATCTCCCACTAAAAACCATCAAAGCATTTAGCTATTCCATTTGACAGCCAGCAAATTGTCTGTCTTCTATTAGATAGAAATGATCTGAAATCTGATGGTAAGTTATTTTTAATGATTTATAGTTTCATAACTTTTCTAAATTCAACTTGGCAAAATAATTTGGTTGAGTAGAAGAGCAGATGTTTTGTGTGTTGGTCTGTTAAAACATTCACTATGAAGTGTAGGTCCCTCACCTCCATGTACATATTTGCAATGATGTACTTGTCTGCAATGCTGGTCTCATAATTAAATGGTGTTCTGGATGCAGCCATCATTGTACCTCATGCTTATCACTCAGATCTTTACTCTTTATGAAGTTCCATGCCTATGAATGGTTCTGCTGAATAAAAAGGATGAACTTCAGTGGATGTGTGCTTCTGTAGTTTTAGTTAACTGGCAAGTAGTGTGCTACTTCTAATATCTGAACCATCCTTTAAAGGCTGTTGACATAAACAGGTATGGTCTCCCCAGCTGGACTGATTTTGTGTTATCAAGTTTCAGATACTTTAGCATGTCTGCATGCTTGACCTTTGTTCTGTTTTTTTTAGAATCAAAGTTGGTAGGCTTGTTGTTGAAGTGAGCTGTGGCTCCTAAAAGCTTATATTGAAATAAATGTTAGTCTTTAAGCTGCCTCTGGACTTTTGTTACTGAGTATCAGTTGCTATATGAACTTGCATACATAATTTGTTATCTTTCAGTACATCATAACTACGAATTTTCAGACACATTTTATAGGAAGGAAATGAGTTTTTATCTATACTGATTCCTTATGTTTGTGAGTAGTTGTGAAATTCATAAAACTGATGCCCAAATTACAGTGAGGCAGTTCTTGACATCTAATACGGGTGTTTTTTTTCTTCTACCACCTTTGTTTCTGAAGCTTTCCAAGGTGGTTTTCTGACCTGTAACAAATTGGTTTTAGGACCCAAGTAAACATACTTTTAATGAATTTAGAACCCAGTGCTATTTGCCACAACCATTAACTAATGTTGGTGATTTTGCTCTGTACAGATTAATAGTAGTATATACAATGTATCGTAATGAAAAAACTTTTTGAAAAAAACTAGTCCAATATCCTAGTGACCTTACATTACTATATAAGGATGTTCATGACTGAGGAAGGGGGTGAATTGTATTCAGCTCCATTAACAGATTGGTGGTGGTTTTGAAATAACATATGAATAGGCAGTAACTGTAAAGCTTGAATTTTGATTTTATAATGGGAAATGTGTCTTGAATAATCCACTAAATCATAGTGATTCTTGGATTATAAGACTTTCTGTCTGAGATTGGAAGCTTAGTTTGAGCCTGTATTGAGCATGGATTACTTGTAAAGTGGCAGTGTTTATAGAATGTACGTTGCCACCACAGCCTTTATTTCAGCTAGTTTTGAGATTATTTAAATTTGACCTGCATTTGAAGTGATTGTAGATGCTATAGGAAAAAAGCTTTATTATAGGAATATCTAACTATTCATTTCATCCATATTCTTAAATTTTCAGGAATTCAACTATTTGCTTAAACCTTAATAGTCTCGGTACCTATATAGATCTCTCTTGCTTATATTGTTATACAGTATAAAGTTATTTCAGTCAAAGCTGTTAATTTGTAGTTTAATGGATGAATTTGCTATATGTCCCAGTCGATAATTCAGGAATGTCTGTCACAAGGGTCTACAATCAGTGAATAATCAAACGTAGATCATCTAAAACTGAGATAAAATACAACTCTCTGCAGCAGAGAATTATTGTGCTCATTCCTACTTTGTCAGGCTGAAAGCATTTGTCTAAAGGGCTAGTGGATCTGTTTGAAAAAAAATTGCTTGTGCTTGTTTAATCCACTGTGCAGTCATTCTTCATCTGATAGCAGTCTGTCATAGTGGAAAAGCAATTCTGATTACTTGTTTCTGAGCAATGAAAATTTGGTTGAATAGCAAGAAAATGTATTC